AAGTTTAATTTCACTATAAGTTAGCATTTAGTTGTCTAATTTAGACAGCAATTTTCCACCTGTATCATTACTAGAGCTGTGAGATCTACCATTTGTATTGGTTGTGAGGCTCCTTTCTGTTAACAAAGTAACATTTCAATTCTACATCCAGTTTAGCAGCTTAACGTACACCCAACAGCATGTTGGAGCTCTGTGAAGCCAAAAAGGGAGCTCAATTATTTGGATGGTAACAGTATCTGATGCCTGCCTCAATCTGTCCTCAACACTTTAAAGCTGACAGTCTGAAAATAGACCCTATGAAGGCAAAATAGGTTTCAAGAGCTGTAAGCAGAAAGAGGACGAAAGCAATTAACTCATTAATTTTTTTATATTAAATGAAATAATATTAATATTAAATGATCCCCCAAATGAAAACTAACTTGGCAGACACGATGTCTCTCTAAGATAGACTGCACAACATCTGGGACCCAATGATCTGAAATCTGTCAGAACAGTCAGTATATCTAGTTTGAAAGACCTTTGATTTACTGTTACCCAATGCTGATGCTATCTGGTGATGCTTGTTAGAAAAGTCACACGTGTTGATTATTGGGTGAGAATAAGATAGTGCTCAGCATTGATTTCTCTTCCCTCCCCTCTTCCTGTTCAATAGCTTGCCAACATTTACTGTCTTGGGCCACACATGAAGATTGGTCAGTTGGGCAAGTTACATGGCTGGTCTACATCGGACTATATTCCTGCATGAGCGGAGGGAGAGAATTAGTGTGGATCATCTTGTCAGACCATTAAAAAGACCTGCATTTATTATTATTATTCTTGCATGTGGAGTCATGCAGCTCAGTGGTTAGAGCACTTGCTTTGCAAGCGAGAGACCCGAGTTCAATTCCAGGCAGCGGGAAACCTTGGGCAAGTTTCCTTACTCCACAAACAGTCATAAATTGGATGATGAGGTGGCTTGAATAGTTGCAGTTTGATAGCGAGATTGCCTATGATAAAGCAAGTAGCTCCTTTTCACTGCCTCACTCCTGATGGGGTCATCTCAAAATTAAAAGTGAACATGAAAAATGCAGTCTTGTCTCTCCTGGGACACTGGTCGCTCGCTTCATATTAAAAAAAATTGCATCTCTTCATATTAAATTTTTTTTTGTTTGTCATATTAAAAATCTATTATTTCTAAGTCTTTAGGTTCTTTCTTTTATCTTGCTGCAATAGGAACTCTGAAACAGAGCAATTTCAGTAAATGCTGCACATTGTAGGGAAACTACTTCTGCCATTGATAATTTCTTTAGGAATAATTGACCAGTGAGAGAATAAAGAAGATGCTTTTGGAGAAACCTGCTCAACCAGAACCACTGAAGTCTTACACAGGAACCGGTTAGGCCAGTATTGCTCATATTTATTAGCTGCTTGTGGGCTGACTCCAAAAGATCTGGTTGGTTGTATTTGAGCAGAACTAACCTATTACACCAGTCTCTGCACACACGATACTATGGAAACCAGGGTTGGGCAGTATTTGAGGAGGAACATCAGTTGTAAACTAGATCTTGTGCTGTAATAAGCTGCACTCTGTGCAATATCATTATTGCCCACAGAATATACAGTCAATCAACTTTATAGTATGTTCTGTGAAGCACTTTGAGACGTCTCGAATACCTGATCAGGTACTTTATCAAATGCAAGGATTCTTATTATTATCATTATTGCTTTTAAAAAAGCTTTAAAATTTGTGTTTTTAAAAAAATAGAAATCTTTAGCAGCGAAATCTCCCGCGGTTCCTGGCTGGAGATAACATCTAAAATATTATTTATCCGAGATTATTTGAACATGCTAGGTACATTAAGTTAGATGTTTCCACCAGCTTGCCACTTATCAAAACTATATTTATACAGCTTGGTTTTAAATATATGGCATCTTAGTTTGGAAACTTCAGAACCTCCCAATCGGCAAGTTGTGCCAAGTTTTAGTGGCTTAATGCAAGGAGTATTACTGGAAGCATTGTTTTGAAGACGTGATAAGGCGCTATATCAAATGCAAGATTATTATAATAATAGCACGCTGTCCAGTTAATAGTCTAATATATTTCACACGCTCGAATGCTCCACTCAGAACTGAACAGTGAAACATAGCTAAATAGTTGTTGATATTTTTAGCCTTACTGTGGGATAATTTCAGTTATAATTGACGTACAACAAACTTGCGACTTGGTAGCGACACAGCCAAAATCCACTAATATCTAAATCGGAGAAGCAGATTTAAATCTTGATATGAGTAACTCAATACCAAGTATGAAACTTCGCCCGATGGGTTGACAGCTGTCGCCCTCCTTCCACTAGGTGGTGCGAAGTTCTTCTTACTTTAAAATCTACATTTTGGACACCTGGAACAGGAAGGAGGGATGTACCCTTTCATGATGGGATGTCGTCACCACCAACGTACTGCCAATCGCCGATTGGGTAACTACGATCCCATAAATAAACAATTCTGCACTGGTTTGGTCTATTAGATGCTAACCATTGTCAACTACAGTTTCTCATTCATATGCAACAAATTGCCTTTTGTGTGGTCTTGGTTGAAACTTTAAATGTTGAGCCACCAGGCAAATAATTCAAAACACTTCCATTTTCACCGAGGAAAGTCTTTACAACGTTAACTTTAGTACTTTTAAGTAAACAACCAAACCCAAGCAGTTATCATCTTCTATTCTGCATTTTTTTCCTCTATTTTTAACGGTTCTTTAAAAAATCCAGCTGCCTCGAAGCATCTGGATCTTCTTTCTTTGCCTTTTATTGTTCTTTCTGTCTTGATACTCTCTCTCATCGTTTCTTATAATCTTATTTGCCGTATGTTAACTTCTACATCTGGTACATTTCCACGTGGTCTTTGTCTCTGGAACTCTTATAGCTTTAGTCCACCCCACTGCTACTGAAACCCTTCACCATGTCTTCTTCACCTCGAGGATGCTTTTCCAATAGGTTCCAGAAGCTTCAACTGATACAGAAATCTGCAGCCTGAGGTCTTTCCCATAAAAGGCTCTGCACACCTTATTATCTGCATCCTCTCCGAGCAAGATTGGCTCCCAGTACTTCAGAAGATAAGCTCATTATCTTTGGCCAATCTTCAAATCCCACTATTGTCTTACTCCACCCTAACCATCCAATCTTCTTCAACCTAAACGTGTTCCATTGCTCGCTCTCCATTCCATTCGATCTATTGCAAGCCTCAGTGACCATACTCTTTATCATCTGAAAATCTTTCCCACTTAATCTTACTGCCCATCTCCCTGCATTCAACAAACTCACGATAACATATGTTTTAGACCGTGTCTTTGGTCAACATCCTGTTTCTTTGATGTTCAACACTGCGATTAGCAACTGCTTTGACCTGTTCTTTAATGTGAAAGGCACTATACAAGTAGTTCCTTTTCTCACTTCTGTGCCCATGGGCTTTGTTATCTAACCAAGATAGTGCGATACTGAATTATATAGACAAGAAGCCTATCTCTCAGATTGCAAATCCTTTTTTTAAAATATAAGCAGCACCCACTAATGACCAGAAAATCTCACGGTACTCCTGGTCCATTAGGTCAGCATTAGATTCACCCAAGTGCTGACCTGACTGGTTCTGTGTCTTGCTAAGCTGCCCCCCCCCTACCCCCACCCCAGTGTATCTGACACAACCAGCATTGAATGCCTTTGCCAGCAGGAGCCGCCCAGTCACTGCTGATCTGTATGTTGTCTGCCAGCACTGAAGTTTGCCTGGTGCCAGCAGCATTGATTAAAGGGACATCAGCACTGCTTGAGGCCTGGAGTCGCTGTGCAAATGCAGTGTGGCATAACACAAACATGACACAATATCCTTTACTGAAACTCCAGAAGGCAAGAAGTTTTGCGTTGATCTTGAAACAAAATACTGTAATCCAGTGCATGACTGGGGGTGGGGGGGTTAGGTGGGGGGTAAAGATTATATGTTAATTTTGGACTTTAAAATCACACCACAGCAGTAGTTTTTCTATCCCATCATATTTAGCTGCTACTTTTTTTGAACACTGTATCTCTAACAGTCTGCTGGGCAAGGATAAAAATAAAAATCACAACTTTCCAGCAAGGAGAAGTGGAGATCATTAAGATTGGAATGGTCAAAAAAGTAATACAGCTTCTAGTTAAGTTATTGTGCAGATATTCAGCTAAAGCAGTCTGCGCTAATTACATTTGCTCTGCGGGAAAGTGGAATTCTTTTGGAAAGAGTTTCCAAAAATAGCATGATTTAGAAGAATGCGGACTATGTAGAATGCCTTCCAAAATAAACCAGGTGGATCCAGAAATGATGGATTTCATTTTACCACAGCTAAATACTTCCAGCTACTACAGATTGAGGTCTGCTTTTAAAATCATAAATAATAATAATAATTTTTTTTTCCACACAGTGGCCTTCATGTCAGGAGGACGCCTCAAAGTGCTTCACAGGATTTATTGTAACGTGTAGTGACTATGTATTTTTGTAGGAAAATACACCAGAAACTGATAGGATTATTTCTTTTTTCCGTCATGGGTAATAATAACGTCTCAACAAGCTCCAGTAAGATTTTGAAAATTTTTGCAACCGGGGATTGAAACACAGCAAAGTCAAAAATACAAACAATTTTTGCCCGGAGGCGACAACTAGACATCTAGAAATGTATGAACAGAGAAGATTCTTTGTGGCGGTTAGAGACATGAATAATTGCCATGATTTTCACAGGAGAACAAAGAATTGTAGTTCGCCCACTTCCTCTAACCAACTCGAATCATGCTGTGAAATGTGACCTACTCTATATGTGTGATGAAATCACATAGTGCGCACTGTCTACTTGCTGGTGCTTTTGTAACCCTCCTCAAGCATGAATCATCGTCCTTAGGCTGGAGAGAGTGGACCAGAACCCTGGTCACCTAACCCAAACATTTTACACCATCCAGTTTATCAAAACCCGCCTTCCCCAAAAGAAAACGACAGCACAACAGTTGTATAAATATAAAGTTCATTGAGTATAGTGTTTAGAAAAATAAGCTCAGATAATTTCAGAATACAAACAAAAGCCATGTAACAGTTCAGACACAAAACCAGATTACATTTTAAATGGGGCATTTAAAATATCTTTGGTATCACAAGGGGGTGCACACAAACACTGTAATACATGCTCAATGTACCATCACCAAGAAGTTAGTGCAGTATAGATGCTTTTTTTAAAAAAAGAGACCCATTTCCCTCAGTGTGTGCATAGACAAATTCAAACCAATGTAAAACATTTATAAAGCATCATGCCAAATCTATTTCCAGTACAATAAAACAACTTGAAATCAAAGCATATTACTTGCACTAGCTAAGAAAAACCTTCCCTTTAAATAAAAAATAAAGAAACCCTTCAAAGCAAAACTATAAAACAATTTGTACTAACAAACATAAGGATATAGGGAAAAAGTTACTCTTTATTTAGCCTAAATATTAGATAAATATGGAAGCACCCTGAACTAATACCACAACACACTACCAGATGCTTCTCAATAACCATCTAAGATAGTACTGATTGTAGTACTGAATGTAGATGATTCACAGAATGCCTGCGTGTGTCAAAGGGCAGCAATTGTCTCGAAAATACAGTCAAATTTAAAATAAGCCAGGAATATTTTGTTCAAGGCAGTTCAATTATTTATTTGGCCAGCAAATTCAGGCAGTTTGAGACTGACATTTGCCAGACTGATATCAATTGTTTCAAGAATAAACAAAGAATACCTACTGACTGTCCTTTTGAGTAAAATCACTCTCGTGCTCCTTAAACTATTCACAGAGCAGTTTGTTTTCAATCCCAAGTCACAGATTTTCACTGTTCCTACTCTATTAAAACAGAATGTCCCTGCAGTGTTTCAATAAGATCCGATTTCTTTGCATGGCAGAAGCTTCCTAAAGGCGAAAATCAAACCACTCATGCACACTTTTCCTGCCAGAACGGTCATTCGCTTTGAGAGTTTTATGGTCGTTCAACACGATTTTATCTAAATAATGTGAAGATTGTCTAAGCGTATTAACTGGCGATCATTTACCACCAAAACCGTCATGGTAGCTGCACTTCATAAACATTCTGTGGAACAATCACAGGATGTTTCTACCGTATTTACTATAGTTTGTTGGGTTTTCAAAAGTTTCACATTTTACAAACAAAAGCAAAGGCAATCATCACTGAGAGGCGATTAAAATAATGCACATACCTGCACAAAACATGAAAATGCATACATTATGTACACAAACATATACTCTAGATCTACCGGCTGATAAATTTAACGAACTCAGTGACATGCTCCGATTAGTGGGGTTTTGCTACTATATGTGCGCACCGCTGGGTACCTTGCGTTCCCAACAAGTGGCTTATAACCAGACAGAATTTTCATTTCACAGCTTAGGGTGATGATGTTTTAACCGTTCCCTCCCTTCAGTTTGGGAACGCTTCTGGTAATGGCTACACAATGTTATAATGTTGTAAACGAAGCAGGAGATAAGTCGCTTTGAACTCTTCAAAAGAATAGCTACTGAAAAACACAGCCAACAAGTTAAATTGAACGTTTGTAGGAACCATGTTATTGCTCAATTTGTTCTGAAACAGACCAAAATTCCTAATATGGAGTGATATGGACGTAGGTTGCATCAGTGCATTTAAAACTCAAATGTTTTTCTGCACAGACCTTTGTGGACAAGTTGATGCTTCACAGAACTTGAATAAATACAAACTGAAAGGGGGGGGGGGGCTGGAGGAAAAGGAGGCAACACAAGGATTCTTTGAAGAAACGTTAAAGTAGGAGACACTGCGCTCGGTAACCAACAACATTTGTCAATTGGCAAGGTTTGCTCAATGAGAAGGGACTTCAGTAATTGTATGTTACCTTTGAACATTCTAACATGATGTGTTAAATATATAGAACACACAGACTTGAGTTTGCTTCAAGGCATAGAGATGACACCAAAAATCACAAGAGCAAAGCTTGAGTGGTTTATTAACACCACCTGTACTTTAAAACCCATTAAACCTGTGAAATATACTGTTAGGCTGTTGTCAAATGGGAAGTTAATTAATTCCTGATCGTATGCAATGATTATTTTTGGGTGGAGCTGCCTTTCACAAACAAATCAGACAATTTAACAATGTGTGACATTATTTAGAGTTCGTAATGTAACAAGCAGTGCTATCGATGGGTTTTCCTGACTAACCGAATAATCTAGCTTCTACTTAGTATGTTATAAAGTTGTAACTCATCACGGAGTCCAGAGGAGATTAGAAAACCATGAAATCTTGAGCGTCATCTAAGCTCTTTGATCTGCTACAACCTCCTCACACAGTGCAGAGTTATCCTACATGCAGCTTACTGCTGTGCATTCTTTTACAATACAGTACATACATAATGCAGGTCAAGGCACATTATTCAGGTGACTCTGACGAGGAAATACGGACAAGAAAGTTTAACAGGCAGACATTAACTGGAGGGAACGAATGCTGGCATCAGTGGAGCATTACAGCATCAGAACAAACTGTCTATTGCTAACCTGTAACTGAATGGACATTATCTTACTCACACTGAAGTATTGCACACTTTTGTTTTACGGTTGAATATTGACATATACTGACCAGTTAATTAAGGTGTATATTAAGTTATAACCTCCATCACAAATGAATGATGGACTGTGTGACTATAAGGCACTTAAAGTAAAGGAGGCCAATTATTACCAAGGATGTTCCTGACTAACCGTTAATTTACGTCAATGTACTAAGTATTCTTAAGTCCCAACCAGTAAGTTGAAATTTGGAAAAGAGACTTGCTACATGATCTTGTAATAGTACCAATTTGTTTAAGTCAATCACCCACCACCACCTAAGTTGATGTTTGTGCAGTTTGATAACAGAAAGAAGTAAAAAAAACATTTCCCATTAGTTTTCACAGTACTTCGGTTCAGGACCTTTATAAGATTAAAACGTTTTATTCTGTAACAGAAAGTTATGTACCTAATGTTAAGTCTGACAATGCAGTTTGCACAGTTCAATTTGGATTGGCTATGCTGGTTGTCAATTAAAAAAAGATTGACAGTAAAATTGACCAATCCAATAAGTCTATTAAAAATAATACAGTAAATATTCTTTGGACTCTTTCTTGGTAAGAAGCTTTAAGGTTACGGGAAATAATTCTGTTTTTAAAAAAAAGTGGTGCTTTCCATATGGGAGGGGAACGAGAGAGAGGGTGGGGTGTGTGTGTGTGTATAAAAGATGAAGGATGCTGTGATTCTGACTTTAATTTAGAGATAGAGAGGTAGTGTCTGGCAGTGATTGAGGTCACAGCAACAACAATTTGTATTTATATAGCGCCTTTCACAGCAGGTCTCAGGAGAGCTGATGGCTTATGGCAGGATTTTTGTGCCTTCACTGTGCAATGGTGTAATGTCATGCTCTTAAATAATGTTTAAACTGCCAGGTTGTGTGTGGATATCAAACCGTGGATATGAAGCAAATGATTCCTGGTTTATGAACGACTGACCTAATTCATATACTTTTAAAAATATGCCTACTTGTAACTAAAATTCTTAAGGCACCATTAAACGTGTCCATTAAAAATCGGACAATGCCCAACTACCTCATTCTGCTTCGTACCATCTACAAAGTAGATAAAGTACAATAAATGTCTGTGGGTGCTTGAAATGGGGGATAGAAAAATTGAGAAGACCCACTTTCAGCAGCCAGTCACTCAGTGAACTATATATCACACATATCTTCGTCCATTGGTACATTTTGCAGTTTTGCTAGCTCTTTTTCTTCTGTTTCCAATTCTTTGCAGACACTGTTAACCACATCATGTATAACGTATTTGGATTTCGAGTCCATCATCATCATGTGGTTGCTGCATTTGTTCTCTGAAACAGCAATGTAGGTCTCCTTTACTGTCGGATGCAGTACTGACACGTGCTCATACTCCTGATGTCCCTCTGTAAGATCATTTCTCGGTTTATCTCCGCTAACAGAAACAACAACAGATTCACATACATTCTCTTGGGTGGAGTTTGAAAGCAGGCCGCAGTTCTGAGGTGTGGCATACACGCTGTTTCCCATGGACACAATGGGAAGTGAATCGCCGATTGCAGTGGACACATTTTGATCGAGGGTCGCGTGTGTAGCAGTGGACAGAGGCAGACTCACTGTGAGGCTGAAGCTCAAAGTACCCGATCCGTTCAGCACATTGGAGGAAGTCAAAGGGAGATTCTGAGGTGGACCCGTGCTTATCAGAGACGAGGACGGAGTATTAAGTACTGTTCCAGATTGATTCCCGTTTGATGCGTTGACATTCAGTTGGTTATGCGACATTAACTGAGAAAACACCAGGCCACCTTCCAACGCATCATGCTTAACTTGGGCTACAGCCTGTCCTGAATTAGGGATTGTGCACATGACTGCACTGGGTGGAAGAGTGGTGGTCAAGAAGACCTTACCTTGCTGAAGAGTGGCTGCTGTACCGCTTAAGAGGGTTCCTCCATCGGAAGTATTTGTTATTAAAATATTCCCTGCAACACAGAAAAGAGGATGAGTCTTCCACAGGCTTATTGGTGGGCTGTTCTCCTTATTGAGTAGCTTGTTAGCCGTCAGAGGAAGGAGAGGCAAATCCAAAGGTCCAACACTTTCTATCACATCGAAATTAAGTTAGAACTGAATAAGAGTTGGTGTTATATAAATGTAATTTGTTGTTGAGTTATTTCAGCCAATAAATAACCATTGCTCAGTCAAGTAGAATTTGGTCATTCTATAGTTTGTTCATTGAAATAATTTTCTACTTTATTTTAGTACATAGTAATAGTTTTGAATTTTTCATTCAAATTGACGAGTTTGGGGCAATAGACAAGCATCAGGGAATGACTTTTCAATTCTGAAAACTTGCAAGTTTCCCAATAAATCTCACCTATGTAAGAAAAACTGAAATGTAGATCCGTTATTCCTTCCTATCTCTGGACTATTGGGTAACATGCAGGTTTGCTAAGCAAGCATGTGGATTTCTCAGGGTTATAAATGTGTCTGCGGGAAAGATGATCATTCCTGATCCAGTGTCACCACATAACCAAAAAATGTATCACTCTCTTGCTAAGCAGCCAAATCAACACCAGCTCAAGATCACAACTGAAATACCCAGAGCCAAGAAAAACTAGGGACGACAATTTTCAGCAGGCACATCATGTTGCAAATGTGACAATCGCACCCCAGCAACCTTGTTAATCATTGGAGTTGAGGTACAGATCAGTCATAATCTAATAGAATGGTGAAACAGCCTCGAGGGGCTGAATGGCCCACTCCTGTACCTATGGTTCCAGTTTGTGTGATTTGTGCTAGCAATGCCATTTTGTATGAAGGGGGGGGAGGGGGGGGGGGGGGGGGGGAGTGCGGAGAAGAGAAACTAAATTCGAAGGGCCTCCTGAAGATTCAACGTGGATTATTATACCATGCATAAAGTATGATAAATACCAGTCCTGTTTAGTACGCTGATGATTTGACAGCCAACCACCTAATTGGCTCGCATGGACCTTACAGGACATGCAATCACTGCCAGACATACCGTCTCTCTTGCAGAGCTCTGTCTAGACTTATTCACCACAAACCAAAGAGAACTGAAGCAAAAGGGAATGGTGGTGGGGAAGAAGACAGTAAGTGGTTACAATAGATCACGGCTGTGCCAGATTGTTGTAGAATTTGTGTCTAGCTATAGAGTGATGTGGTTTCCAGAAGGATATTACAGAACAGAACACTAACTCCATGAACTCACCTTGTGATGATGCAGCAGACACAGAAGGTAGCTGCAGAGAAGTTAACCCAATATTTCCATTCACCAGTTGGACATTATTTTCTGAATTATGGAGGTGCACGAGTCCATATTGGTTTATTTGTACAGGACCATTGTCAACAGAGCCAGAAGATCCCAAGTCTTGAGAGTTGAGCATATGTATACTTTCAGTCTTAAGCTCAGTGGCGCCAAGGGATCCTGAGAAAGGAACAGATGAATTGGGATTGAAAGTCACAGTTGAACAGGTTACAGAGTCAGTCAGGCTTTTAAACTCCTTATTTGAGGCAGAGGAATTCACGAGTAACTCACCGTTTGAAATGTTATTAACCAGCACACTGGGAGTGGTTCCAACTGGGCTTAAACTGATTGTCTGGGCATTTCCTAGAGGCAGTCCATTAACAAGGACTCCGCTAGGTCCTTGGATGAAAGAACTTCCATTGCAAAACACAGGAGTGCCGTTTGTAGTTACAAGGTTTCCATTGAGTAGTATGCCAGATGAACTCGGAGTGGATTTCAGATCCCCAATATGTTGGATGAACATGCCTTCTGAATGAGCTTGGATACTGGAGTGGTTCATTCCATCTGGTGGATTTGATAGTGGACGAGGAGACAGGTCATCTTGACCCTTGCTGGATTCATCTTCAGTACTGTGATTACCATCGGACTCACTGTAGAAACAGGGTTAAAAGTTACAAGTGCCGTTCTATTAATATTCAACGTTTACCACCTCGAAGCTTCTACCACTCTTGAGAGGAGTTGAAATGTATTGAACTGGAATTCTGCTAACTAAAACTATTGCAGAGTAAAACCTTGCACAACTTAAAAGCACACAATTGCATGGTATTCACATTATAAACATGGAAAAGGGGATACACTGTAACATTCTACCAATGACAAGTTTAATCAGTTTCCATTTATTTTAAACGTGTTCCACATTTTAGTGCTGAAGAGGATTTATGAACAATCAAGCTCATGGCCTGAGTTTTACTATGAAATTGTTAGATGTTCCACTTTGCTCAAAAAGTATGAATATAATCCAACAAAGAATTGACGTGTATGGCATGATTTTAATTATAGCACTGAAAAAGGTCCAAATAATGATTGTCCATCTCAGTATTTGTTCATCTCAGTCGGGACCATTATCCATTTCTTCCAATTACTGTACATTCCAAAGCATATACTTATCCAGTTCTTTATTTTTTTAAAAGGAATGAATTGAGGCAGTTTCAATTGCTTTTGTTTGGAGTCTGTTCCCTATATCCAGTACTCAGTGAAGAAGGAGCAGGTTCAAATCAAATCTCCAGTCACGTTTGAAGCTTTATATTTTAAACTCATGCCTTTGACATCAAATTGCCAGCTTACATTTATCTGATCTGTGCCTTTGATCACTTTAAAGGCTTGGATCACAATCCCTCCCAATCTTTTTCCCAACAAAACCTTCAGTGCTGCAAGCTTTCCCTCAGAACTCTAAATCCCTGAATTATTCTTGCTCATCTCTGAACCTTAGCCAATGCTTTAAGTACATATGAAAGGTTGGGTGCCCAAAAACTGCCCACAATAATCCGTATCTCATCGTGTGCAACATAGGTGCGATAAACTAGCCAAAGGCTCTTCAGATGTAAGTAGCTGTTGATGGCAGAGGAGGTCAAAGAGGCAGGAAGGTGCTACGTGTAACAACCTATCCGATGGAAAGTCCCCTTTAATCCAAAGTTACTATTTTCTGACTTCCTATTATTATTCCTATTGTCCAAAGTGTTACATCTCAAGTCAACAATAACTATTGTCACTTGTTCTCTGTAAGCAAATAAAAATGGAAAAGAGAAGGTGATTCAGCGGATTCAGAATGTGCCCCTTCACGTCAGCAGCCTGGCTTCAATTTAGCCTGGTCCAATCTGAAGGAACAAAAAATGCCCCTTCTTCACCAGCTATAAAGGTCTCATGTTAGAATGGGCGTGGAAGAGTCTCAACGCAGTTATCAGAGGCCAGCACTTCTGGTACAACACTGCCCCGAAAACCACACAAGCTGAAAATCTCAGTGAAAGAAACCACAAGGACTGTTGTGGGAAGTGTAAAAATTCACACTGCTACTGAAGTGAAGGATTCTGATCAGGGGCAATTCCGCAGGCAAACCAAAGGGCATTTTACTCGGAGCTCACCATTCTTTACAAAGATGTTAGCAGTGAATGCCTGACAGTCAATAAATTTCATTTCATGCAGTATTTCATTCCTCAAAGATGAGGTTCTTCAACTTGACATGCCAATAAGATAAACGAATAAACAATCCCTTCACCTCACCCCCTCCCTTGCCTCCTTCAAGGTCCATCTCCTCTGTGATTGTGCCTTCGGCCAATCTCCTATCCCTACCGTTCCTATCTTCCACCCATCCAGATCTCAACCCCCAGCTCGGGCCAACATCCCTGAATGTCCAGTGCCTTAGGACGTCCTCCTGACTTCAAAGGTGCATTACAAATTAAATTTGTTGTTATGTTCTGTCTTGTTCCTAATGTCTCCACAGTCCTAATACTCAGCAGACCTAAACCACTGAATTCACTGAAAATATTTCATCCTCACTTACAGGATATGTTTATTATACTAAATTTTGGACTCCTGCGACCTTCATGTAATGTTGAGCTCTTCATGCCAGGTTCAATAAAACTGAGGGGGCAGGGGGAGGAGAAGGGTAAACCAAAAACAGTTAAAGCTTTGCCAAGTATTAAAATATTTCAGTCATTGAAACAATTTTGCCTTTTGCATTTAATGACCTCTACATTTAATTGAATAAGTGCAATAGTTCATTCATTTTCTTGGACTGGAGCCCAAATAATAATAATAAGCATACGACATATGGGCAACATGAATTGGCTCAACATTAGACAAGTTTGCATATCTGCTCATTTTTTGTAATGCTGCTCATTTACGGGAATGTTCGCTAAAAATTTGGAACAAGTTTGCGGTGCATAATTTTTTCGCCCCCCAAAAGGTACCAACACCAGGGCGAAACCTTGGGAAAGTTTCCTTACTCCACACGCCTAATAATAATCCCTCCAAAACAATAATAAATTGGTCATTTTCAATCCACGACTGTTTGTGGGACACTGCTGTGCACAATTGGCTGCTGCGTTTCGCCCACAACTATACAGTCAATTCACTTTACAGCATATTCTGTGAAGTGCTTTGAGACGTCGAGAAGATGTGAAAAACACTATATCAAATGCAAGGATTACCACAAACTTGGCAACTACACAATAGACAAGATTTTAAAATGGCCACATTTAATGACCACATTAAACTGACCCAATTCATCGATACCCATAACCAAACGGTTATCCAGTGTTAGTGCTCTGTAAATACTGTAACAGGAATGTTTAAATACAACTGGAAAGGGGGCCTGAACAGTGCGCGATCCAAACTGCTGTCTAATCCTCTTCTGGGGGGGGAAAAAAAAACCCGTGTCTGATTGTAATTAAAAGCAAAGTATCTTAAAAGTTGACCTTGGCCTGTGTTTCCCTCTCCCACTAGGGCCCCAGCAAAGTCCAGTGGTAAAAACACCGCGCATAACACTCTCCCGACTCCAATTAAAAGACAACATTTGCATGAGCTGACTCCCACAATATTTTCTTGAAAAACGCTGCCCCTTCTTTTCCCCGTGTAAGACGCGTGGTGGGTGTTTTTTTTTTAAACTGGGGGAGTGGGAAGAGAAGAGGGAGAGAGAGAGAGAGAGAGAAAGAAAGGTTGACAAGAATAGCCAGTGAGAGCCTGGGGCACTCAGGTCTATTTGTGGGACCTGACTGTTTCCAAACCCTGTTGCATGGTGCACTGGGCCAATACAAAGGCGTCCTTCAGCTCGTTTGGTTTACCAATGCCCTCCAGCAGTCAGTTAGTCCCTTTACTTACATCACCATCTGAAATGACTACAGTTGGTTGGTTGCATGGAGCTGGTGGATCGACCCTACCTCCACCAGGTGTGCTCTGTCTGTCTGTCTGTCTGTCCTTTAAAACACAAAGCCTTTTGCAAGTGGCTTCCCCCCCCCAACCCCCCTCCTCTCTATAAACTTGCTGCGCAAAATGCAAGGCAAGTTTGCTTTTTTTTTCACACGCACACACAAAAAAAAAGTTTGCAGGAAGGATCAGTGAGAGCCCGCAGAAAGGATCACATATATATATATATATACACACACACAGTATATCTAAGCTGTGCAACTGTGAGAATGTGAGTTCTAACCCCCCCCCACCACCCCCACCCCAAGCTTTGCAAACTCGAAAGGTTCTGCAGAATTCGTAATAAAACATGAGGGCTTTCAGCAAAGTTGCAGCTCAGCTTCTCCACAAGTGAACTGCAATGAAATTCGATCTGAATGGGAAAGACTCATGTTTCAAAACAAAGCCAATTGCACAGTCATGCCTGAAGCCAGCTTTTCGAAAAAATATTATATACACATATATATATACACACACACACATGTATCAAACTGAATTAACTAAACTAACACTTGGGGGGAAAAAAATCTCTGGGATTTCTTCCTCTCTCTCTCTCTCTCTCTTTCTCCTCCTTTAGACATTTTTTTCCCCCCACAACAACTGTTAGGCTTCTTTGTTCCAATTTCTTTTGGCTTTTCCAAATAAAACCCCATAAGCACAACACACACTTTCAGGAGCTCCTCCTAAACAGCAGCGATCGTGCGGTGAAGAAGAAGAAGAAGAAGAAGAAGAAGGAGAAAAAAAGAAGAGATCGCACTTAACCGGCGATCGCCGAGAGGGGGTCGAGTTTTGGGGACAAGAGTTGCTCTTTGGAAAACCCGATCCATTTTTTTTTCCCCCGAAAAAAGTTTTTTTTGGTAATAAAACAAAGTAGGAAATTAAAGACTAGATAACCGCCATTTTGTAGCATTGGCTTTGGGAAGCGCCTCGAGAGGGAGAGAGGGAGGGAGAGGGAGGGAGGGAGTGGGTGAGGGTGGGGGAGAGGGTGAGAGGGAGGGAGAGGGAGAGGGAAGGGGTGAGGGGGAGAGGGAGGGAGAGATGGTGGGGGAGAGGGAGGGAGAGAGGGGGAGGGAAGGGGTGAGGGAGAGGGAGAGAGAGAAGGGGTGGGGGAGAGTTAGAGGGAGGGAAGGGGTGGGGGTGGGGAGAGAGTTAGAGGGAGGGAAGGGGTGGGGGGGAGAGAGTTAGAGGGAGGGAAGGGGTGGGGGAGAGAGTGAGAGGGAGGGAGGGGTGGGGGAGAGGGAGGGAAGGGGTGGGGGGGGGAGGGTGGGGGTGGGGAGGAGGGGGGGGTGGGGGAGGGAGGGAGGGGGGGGGGTGGGGGAGAGAGGGAGGGGAAGGGGTGGGGGTGGGGGAGAGAGTTAGAGGGAGGGAGGGGTGGGGGGGGGAGGGTGGGGAGAGAGGGAGGGGTGGGGGTGGGGGAGAGAGGGAGGGAAGGGGTGGGGGGGGGAGAGGGAGGGGGGAGGGGTGGGGGGGGGGAGAGAGGGAGGGGTGGGGGTGGGGGAGAGAGGGAGGGGTGGGGGTGGGGGAGAGAGGGAGGGAAAGTCTCACCTTTTGGAGTGCGTTTCACAGGGGTTTCGGTCTCTCTGGCGCCTGTTTTTGAACCAGTTGCTGACTTGTGTGAGGGAGAGTCCGGTCAGTTTGGCGAGATTCCGCTTATCCGCGGGCGATGGGTAGCGATTCTGTTTGTACAGCTCTTTGAGAGCGTTTCTCGACTTCTCCTTGAAGCAGTAGACCCTCTCCTCCCCGTCCCATATGGTCCTGGGCAGAGGGAATTTCCTCCTCAGCCTGTACTTGTCCACAGCGCCCAGAGGTCGACCGCGGACCTTCTCGGCTTCTGTGTACCGGGCTTTGTACCACAGGTCCTGCAGGAACGTGTGGCAGGAAGCCTCGAAGTTGTGACTCTCCAAAATGCCGTAGAGCTCTTTGTATCTCCCCTGGTGGAAAGCCACCAGCGCCCGGGCATTCAGGATGCTTTCGTTGCCACGTAGCAGCTCGCTGGCGGGCAAGGACCACAGGAACTGGGCGAGCCGGTCCAGGTTCCCCCCTTGCTGCAGAGCCTCGCACACGCACGCCACTTGCTCCGGGGAGAAAGTCAAGGCTGAGGCGGGGTGGGCGAGCAGCTCGACCGGGAGCTGCCCGGGCAGCTCGGGGCTGGAGGGGAGGACAGCCGCGCTGACCTCGGGCTCCACCACCATGGAGGCTGCAGAAGCCAAGGCACCGGCACCGACCTTCGGTGGTTGGAGACTCGCATTTTCTTCTTTGACCTCGACTGCGCTCGTGGTGTCGTTAGCAGAGGAGGAGGAGGAGGAGGAGGAAGACATGTTGCTCTTTTTTTTTCTCTCTTCCCCCCCTCCTTTCTTTTCTTTCTCCTTAGTGTGAGAGTCTGTGACTGAGTGAGTGAGTGAGTGAGTGAGAGACAGAGAGTGAGTTGTGTGCTCCCAACTCCTACCCACTGTGGCCCGGTTCCAGCCGATCAGGTCTAGTTGCCCCCCACTCCATGCTCTGCTGTGCACCAACTATTTCGGATAACTATCTCTCTGCTACATGGGGGATCTGTGTGTTTTCAACGTAACGCCGACCTCCACTGTGTTGCGGGAGCGGGTCGTTCGCTCCTCCTCCCGATTGGTCCAACCGCATGCGGGGGGAGGGCCCAGCCATTGGCTTCTCCTCCCCATTGGTCCAACCCCAATGCGGGGGGAGGGCCCAGCCATTGGCTTCTCCTCCCCATTGGTCCAACCCCAATGCGGGGGGAGGGCCCAGCCATTGGCTTCTCCTCCCCATTGGTCTAACCCAATGCGGGGGGAGGGCTCAGCCATTGGCATCTCCTCCCCATTGGTCCAACCCCAATGCGGGGGAGGGTCCAGCCATTGGCTTCTCTTCCCCATTGGTCCAACGCCATGCGGGGGGAGGGCCCAGCCATTGGTTTCTGCTCCCCATTGGTCCAACGCCATGCGGGGGGAGGGCCCAGCCATTGGCTTCTCCTCCCCATTGGTCCAACGCCATGCGGGGGGAGGGCCCAGCCATTGGCTTCTCCTCCCCATTGGTCCAACGCCATGCGGGGGGAGGGCCCAGTCGATTTCAGATCTGGCCGTTTCCCTGGCAACTGTCAATCAACTGTAATTTATTTTCCTTGGACTTTTTTTTGGGGGAGAAGAGATTATATTGGATAAGGAACCACAATGTGTACAGTGCAGTATCCTCCACGTTTTTATTCCTGGTTTCCTGGAAGACTTTACCCGCAGTTGTTTAGCCAATCTCTCAATATTATGCGCAACTCCCTCCTCCCGACACATAATAATAATAATAACCCATTTGGGTGAAAAAGATGACGATGTTCGTGAGGAGAATAATCCTTGCACCTGATAGAGCACTTTTCACGTCTTCGAGACGCCTTAAAGCGCTTCGCGGAATAAACTGTAAAGCGAACTGACTGCATACTTGTGGGCGAAACGCGGCGGCCAATTGCGCACGGCAGCGTCCCACGGGTTGAAGTGACCAATTTGCTAAATTTTTTTGTGGGAAATTTTGCACCCATTGAAATGCCACTGTTGAGAAGGTGGACTGCATTAGAGTTTTTATTGATTAAAAAACACAAGGTAACCAGGAATCCGAAATAAAAGCTGCAAATCTATAACCGGCGAGTCTGGGCCTGAAAAGAAGGGGAAAAGCTAGGTTAACACTCAAGGTAAGCTCCATAACGTTCATCATAATGATCCGTTGTTACTGTAATTTTCTCGATTGTTTTTTTTTAAAAGAGGCATTTTTACATTCATACCTTTTTTTCTTCCAGAATGAATGGAGACAGGAATTGCTTTTTGTATGAAAATCGTATTGAATGTGTCTGCTTTTTCTTTGCAATTGTCTATTCTGAACTGCAGTTTGCAACTATTTTAGGGCCTTAAGTCTCACACAGAATGACCTCTTGTAGATTTCGCTAATACTGTAACTATTTTTTGTACAAGACCAGCCCTGAAAGTGACAAATCGTTGGAACGAAGATCCAAATGTGAATTGGACTGTTTCCCAGTAGAATAGGTGGCAAGTCAATGATGGAATAAATGATGGAAGACTCACCAGGAATAAATGATGGAAGACTCACCAGCTATGAATGGTACACTTTGACTGCAATTTGAATGACCTTTGCTTCCCATCAGAGCAGCAGAGAAAAGGGGTTTATTGCAGATGTGTTGGGATCATCTGCATGTTGATACAAACCATCTGGTAGAGTGGGAACCCAGTGAAACCACACTCACCTTTTGTGTTTGAATATTGCACCTGGATGAGACTAATCCCTGCATTTGATATAACAACGTATTACATCAACAAAAAAAAGCACTAGAGAGGATTTACTGTAAAGTGTAGTGAATGTATATTTTGTAGACAAATGCAATAGCCAATTTTGCACACACCAATGTCCCACAAACAGTTGTCAAGTGAATGACTAATTTTATCTTCCTGCCTCCAATCGTACCTTACCCTAAATGCAGCCGAAAGCCTCATGCATGTATTTGTCACCTCCGCTTGGATTACTACAACACACTCCTCGCTGGTCTCCCCATCTCCACCATTCACAAGATCTAGCTCTTTCAAAACTCTGCCGCCTGCATACTGACCCGGACCAAACTCTGTACCCACATCTCATCAGGTCTGACCAGGCTCCACTGGCTCCCAGTCACTGAATGGATCGACTTCAAGATCCTCACACTCGTGTTCAAATCCATTCACTCCCTGGTACCTCCCTACCTCTATGACCTCCTCACTCCCTAATCCACCACCTGGCGCCTCCGCTCGACTGGTACCGACCTCCTGCTTATCCCTCGCACCCTCCGCCCCACCATCGGAGGTCGCGCTTTCAGCCACTATGCCCCAAAACTCTGGAACACTCTCCCTCAATCCTTCCTCCTTGCCCCCTCTCACCCCTCTTTCAAGTTCTGCCTGAAAACTTTCCTCTTCGACCACACTTACGGCCAACTACCCCCTCCCCCCAGCTCGGAGTCAGGCTCCACCACTGTTAAGCGTTCTGAGATGCTACCGTGCATGGAGGGCGCTATATAAGTGCAAGTTATTGTTGTTGTTGTTATCTGGAGGATTTGTGGCCAGGATGCCAGAAATATTGTCCTTCTCTTTTGAAATAGTTCTACGTGATCTTTAATGTCCACCTGAGATAGTGAATATGAACTTGATTTATCATCTCAACTCATGAACTCTGACAATGCAGCACTCCAGTGAAGCATCAGCCTCGACTGTAGGCTCAATGTCCCAAAGTGGGTCTTGAACCACAACCTTCTGTCTCAGAGGCGAGAGAGCTACCGCTTGAGCCAGACTGGCTCGCTGACAGGTTGCTAAATCTGTTCAAAACCAATTTTTCTTTCTTATTTGGGGTGTGACTGTGTGACCAATTGATTTTCTTTTGTGTGTAGGGCAAGGCTAGGTTTAAGCACTTGAGGAGTATTATAATGTGAGAACTTTAGAAGTCGTTAAGATCCTTTGCAGCTGATTTGGGAATGCAAAGTACTAGGAGCATTCACGGTTAAAGCCCACAAAGTGCCAGATCATAAAACAAAAGTAAACAGAAAATATTCTACGAATAACCAAAACACTTATATTGCCCTAGTCCTAGAGAAGCAATCTTATTCTCTTATGACAAATTTGCTTAAAATGTAGGTGAGTATCTGAGATCATCACATTGAGGCAGATCAGTGTTGGGGATGGAACAGTTTTCCAATTGGGGCATTTATTATCGAGCATTCCCACTTGAAAAGCAAGGCTTATTTTACATTGCTCCAATGCTCTGTCTTCATGTCAGTCACTGAAGACTCTATTGTACAAGTGTAAATTTTTCCTCCCATATTGTTTATCATTTCTGAATCAGACTGCCAATGCCAAATATAGACTCTATGAATCAGATTAAGGCTACCCAAACTCACTTAATTTACAACTCTTTCATTCCAGCAGAGAGTGGAAACCTTCAGCCCATCTGGACTGAATTCCAACCCATTTCCTAGGAAGCAAAAGGAAAATATTGAAACCCACTCTGAGCCTCAGCACCAGACTAAGCTACACACACACATATATATATGTATATATATTAATAATACAGTATAAGCAATGATCTCTTTGCTTCAGGCCATTTAATTCCTGGTTTCTGCTAGTCCTGATCTGGGAAAAAAAAGTGAGCAAACTAGTACTTTATAAAAGGGAAATTAACTAAATAAAGAAGGGGGCAGGGGTGGGCGGGGGGGGGGGGGGGGGAGGGGGAATGCATTTCACGAGAGCAAAGCACGATCGAAGCACTCATCAATCATTCCAGTCCCAATGTCAGTTGCTTGGGATACAATCAGGTAATAATTACGCTTTCAGTTTTTTCTGTCATATTTGAAAAGTAGCAGCACAGCACAGCAGTTCATACGGCAGGCTAGGTACATTCACACATCCCAAATCATTCGCTCTCCTTGCTTTTTACACTGTTTAGGAGAACTGATGGGTTAGATGCAAATTTAGAAGTTTAACGTTGTTACTGTTACGTGTTGCTGTGGGAGCTACTTGAAAATAACATCAGTAAATATAATAATATAACAAAAATCCTTGCAATTGATATAGCGCCTATAGCGTTGAGACGACTCAAAGCGCTTCACAGAATATATTGTGAAGTGGATTGGCTGTGTATATGTGGGCGAAACAGCTTGAAATCAAAGCATAGGTTTGTAGGAAAGTCCTCGATAATCTGTGAAGCAATTGATAGATTGGTTACAAGATTATTTGGAGCGCTAATGGGCAGGATATACATCAAGTTGTACAACAAGGGAGTGAGAAGTAACAACTGAACTCATTTGTTGCTATTTGTAAAATAGGACACTAAACTTTACTTCTGTATTCCGCTACTTCAGTGTAAATAATGTTTCTCGTTTTGTTTATTAGTACAGTAATAATAATAATAATCCTTAGATTTAATAGTGTGCCTTATCATGTCGTCAAGACATCTCCAAGCGCTTCATTGGATTTACTGTTATTTACTGTTTATTTTGTGGGCAAACAACAACAATAACAACAAGATTACATTTGTATAGAGTCCCAAGTCGCTGGACAGAGTACAGCATTTCAGACCTGAGCTGGGGTCGGAGGGGTGGTGGGTGGGGAGAAGGGAAAGGAAGGGGTGTGGCTGCAAAACGTGGCAGCCAAATCACACGCAGCAGCGT